CTTGAAGGCAGAAATCCCTTTCTATTTTCTCCTTCTAAGTGATGAAGAGAACTGCCCAGCTCTGTGCACCAGCTCCTCTTGCCAGCTCCTAATTCTCTGCTTAGATTGTTTAGTGTGTATATTAAATATGCATGCACAGACAAATAGATCTGAGGAGATTCTGAACTGTTTGTGAGGAATCAAACAACCACAGCATTATAAAATAATTTAGGTTGGAAGGAACCCCTGGCAGCCTAATCCAATCCCCTCAACGGCTCCAAGCTGTTCTTTTCAGATCAGGCTATTTAGGGATGTCTGATCAAATTTTGAACACCTCCCAGGGTTGATTGAGCTCTTGCATATTCTATTCTTTAAGCCCTGTTCCAGTATTTCTCTTCTCTCTTCTCTTCTCTTCTCTTCTCTTCTCTTCTCTTCTCTTCTCTTCTCTTCTCTTCTCTTCTCTTCTCTTCATTGGAATTTAGGATGTTCTAGATGTTTGTTGTGTCTTGTCCTGTGTCGGCTTTGTGAAGAGACAGGCTCCATCTTCCTTTTATCCTCTGATCAGATAAGCATAGACAGCAGCGAGGTTTCCCGTTTGCCTTCCCTTCTCAGGGCTGAAGGGACTCTGCTCTCCCAGTCCCTTCTTGCACCCAGGCAGTGCCCAGCCTGGGTGCCACTGTGGATCTGCTCCAGTAGGTAACACCTGCTCATATGGGATCAAACTGCTGTTTGCTGATGCATTTCCACAGAAAGGAAAGGATCAAGGGCACCTTTATGGTACTGATGGGGTCCTGCCAAGACCTTTGTCCTGGCCCTGTCTCTCAATTTTCTGAGTTCTCTGTGTCAGTCTGTGTTAGCAGAGGTGTAGTAACACCATTCTGGTGTGCAGATTCATGTCACCATCTCAGGAGTCCATTATGTCTTGTGGCAGTGTGTGTCAAAGCAGTTGAGTGATTTGCTCCTTGCTTTCTCTGTGTGATGCTGTGCAGATTGAGGAGTGTAACAGTATGATAATGGAGCAATTTTTTTTCTTTAAGGTAGGAATGTGATAGCTGAGAAAATGTGCCTTTTCCCAGAGAAGCAATGAAGCCTTTGGATCAAAAAAGTGCAATAGTGCTTGAGAGTCAAGTGTGACTCTATTACTGTGAATACAAATAGTGAAAATTTAGATATGTTGCACCATTCTGTTTTCTTTTTTACTTTTCCTGGTTTTTTTTTTTTTTTTCCTTTTAATAAGAGTGGCCTTATTGTCTTCTGCATGCTCTGGAATGTGGGAATACTACATCAATGCAACAATGACAAGTATAGGTTTGAGGCAGAAGAAAATGAAATATATTTATCAAAGTATTTTCATCTCTTTGCAGAAAATTGTTGTTGCTGAGTTACCATGCTACCTGAAACAAACTCTTGTTGGATTTAAGCAAAATATTACAACTATCATATTCCTCTCTTTTCTGTTTAGCTTGTCTTCTTGGGAAATAACCATGCTTTTATGATTTTTTAGATAATGGGTTTTTACCCTTCATTCCACTATTAACATCATATTGCTATATAGAAAGATATCTAAAGAGGAATGGTTTTATTCAAAGCTTGTTTTCTTTTGAATGTCTAGTAGCAAGTATCAAGTGTCTCAATGCTATGCCTAAACCATCTAGCAATACCAAAGCAACAGCTGAGTTTGTTTTGAATTCAGTGCTTTGTAAGCAAATAAAAGCTGTTGTGACTGGCCTTGGTGCAATACACACAGCTGGATAAATCACAAGGTGCTTTCAGAGACCAGCTAAGAGATATGGGGGTGTGAGGGAGCAGAAGAGGCTCTACAGACCCTTCCTTGTGCTCCCTATGGAGAATGTAAGAATGCTGTATCAGAGGTGCTCAGCTGGATGCCAGTCCAGCTGTTAAAACAGAGGCAGGGTCCCCTGGGTTCTTGAGCAGCAGTTTTGTTTCCTCTTTCAGCACAATAGTCTTGGCATTTCCCTCACTAGCACCACTTCTTTACACGAGTACATCGCAAGCACAAATAGGCTTAATATTTATTTTATTTGTCAAAACAAAGGAGAGGTTCAAGGTCCTGTCACCAGAGTTCATGCTAGGATTTGCAGTGGTCAAAGAGGCCAAACAGCCTAGCCCAAAGACCAACATTTTTATTGAAAGTACTTCTCTGAAAGCACAAACCAAAGAATTTTCTTCTGTGCTACATTACTAAGTGTGCAACTTCTCTAGTAACATTCAGGAATGGGAGCAGTAACCAGCCTTTTGTCACCTGTTTGTGGAAATTGGAGGTGTATATGAAATCACATGGAATTATGAGAAAACTCAGGTAGCAAATATTCTAGAGGATGGACTGCAGACATGGAAATGGAAGCTTGTGGGGCCTGAACTCCCCTGACAGTGCCTGCCCTGAGCTGAAAATACCAACTCACTCAAGCTATCTGCACTTGGACTATACTAGGCCAGCACAGGTAGAGGTTGCCAGGCTGATTTATGGTGTCTGCTGTGCCAAATCCACCTGATCTCTTCTTGAAATTGGTCTGATCCTGGGTCTCAGCTCAATAAGCTGTTCTGTACTGAGACAATTCTGCAGAGAACCAGAGAATGTCTTGCGCATCTGTAATACATGGAGGACTGGGAGCTGGCTCTACTTTGGTAAGATTCAAATAATTGTTATATGGAGATAGTTTAAATAAACGTGTAAATGCTTTGAAGGCTCCTTTTAAAAAGATCCCAGTCATAAAACCAAAAAGTTTTAAGAACTTTTGTTAGGTAAATGCCAAATTCCCCTGCACTGGACATACTGTCTTCTTTCAGAAATGCCAATTGGAATTGGTTTCTGAATTGGGGCCAGTAAATTTGTATACCCTGGGACATCTCCAGCATCTGAACTGGCATTTCAAATTGTTTTACTAAGCTCAGATTAACTGTCTCTCTGTGAACAGCTGTCAAACCGATTTCACAAATGATGAGGTGAATAATTCCAACAAGGATGCAAAGGCTGGCATGGCAGTGGAATACAGCCACTGCCAGCCTCTCTGCATAGTTCAGGGGCATCACCAGTTTTCTATGGTCATGGGCTGCTCACAAAGTATAGAGCTTACAGTAGGCAGATCAGACATTTTCCAGTTACAGTGGTGAGTAAAAAGACTGCTTTTGATATCTTGTTTGGTTGGAAAGAGGAGGTTTGCATTTATTACTACAGCAATAAACAAGTGCAGAATGTGGGAGAAGATGACTCAGAAAACACCAGCGTAGTCTGATGTTTGTATTACAACATAATGAATGGGCTCTTTTATATCTATTTGAATGCACATAGACAGAATGCAGATGAACCTAATAAAATTATCCTAATCACTGGGATGACTGCCACTCTGCAAGAAAGAAAAAAATTATTACCTCACATGGAAAAGGAGATGTATCTCAATTTTGTGGTGTTCTTTCCACATAGAAAGGATGATATTTAAGATATTTAAGACTTTTTAATAAAGTGCTGGACTTTCTGTCAAATGGCACTTTGTAGAACTCAAACAATTAAATGCTTTCTTTGTGAGAAAATGTTTTTGGGTTGGGGATGTTCTTCTGGAAACTCAGGTGTTGATCAGTTGTTTGTTTGATTGTTTTTTCAAATTAAGAAAGGTAAAAAATAGAAACAGGAAGGACTGGGATTGGAAATTGTGACAGTGGAGCATGGGGCTTTTATACAGCTTCCATTAATATCTTAAAACAGAAACCTGAGTGAAAATGTGTCAGCATTTTGAAACTAAATCAGGTTTATAAAGAAAGGAAGTATTTTTGAAATTACTTTGGAGACAATAGATAGTAGACCTTATATCTCAACAGGAGAGCTTAACCATCTAATGCTGCAGATAGCTACACTATTTTTTCTGCGTTCTCTTTCTTTCATCTTAAAGATTAGAATTATTGCTCCTGCCCAAACTCAAATGTCTTTTATATGGATTTGAATTGCATTCCCCTGTTTAAATCCTTCTGGGTTTTTATCCATGTAAAACAATTTAAAAATCGATTAATAATTTTTATGTCATATTGTTTGAACTTAATTTATTTAAATGCAGTAAAATTTAAGATAGTTCTTATTTCTCTAAAGGGGCGGACTTAATTGAGGAGAGTGGTTGAAATTAGCATTAGCTAAAATTATGGCAATGACAATGATGATTTATGACAGCTGAACATTAAATATTTTTTGTCTTCAACTAACATTTCTTGTAGTAATATCTCCCTGAAGGAGATGCAATCAGACTTCAAGCTGTTTCACTGATTCTTTCATACAGAGTCTGGGATGCCAAAGGATTTCACCCACTGCAGAGTGGCTGGGGTGTCTTTCAAGCTGTGATGAATGTGTTGAGTTTTAATACCAATTATTGTACTTCATGGGCTCATTGGCTATATTAATATTGCACTCACTGCTATTACTAAAACTTGTGATGGTAATAAATTGAGAGAGCATGACACCAAAGTATGCATAGCTTGATTTTATACTAGTTTCTTTTATTTTATTGTAGTTTTTCTTCAAGAAAGTTTGGGAAAATATATAGATTTAATTTCTCATATCTTTTAAACATATACCTGATATATATTATTTTCCATTTTAGTTTAGCAGTTGTATTCACAACAAGTTATGTGTGTTAGAGAAAACAAAACTGAGTTATAATTTCAACTCACAAAAGCTGGATTCAATTGTATACTGGCCCTGCTTTGACTTAATGATGCCATAAGGTCACTTCCAGCCTGATTTATTGTATAGTTTAGAGATTTCAGTGCAATATCAATATAGATCTCTTAGGTTCATTAATTCACACATGATGAGGATTTGCCCTTGCCAGAGACAGCTTTAATACTGCTTATCATATCACTAAAGACAAATATTTTATTCTGAGAACCTATCCTTTGCTTTCAATTACAGAACACATTGCTATTGACATAACACTACTGCTATAAAGTTCATTTATATCTTTTTCAGATCATTCTTTTTCTCTCTATATATGCTATAAACTCATAATTGCCTTTAGAGATCCCTGAAGACCCAGAAATTGCAGAAGAATATTATAAAGATGAGTTTGAATCCTGTTCAGAAGACAGTGAAGAGGAGGAAGATGCAGAATTGTCATGGACAGCCTCTAAGACAAATCATCAGGTATATGTGACCTTTGAGAACCCTGTATACACCTGATGCTTATTTTCCATGAGAAAACTGAGTTTCTTCCCAGAATTTGTCCTACTGGCATTGCTGATTTTTTTTTAGGAGTGTGTGTATATATCAATACCATGAATTAATTATATGTGTATTATAAGATATTGATGAGAAAGATTTTTGCATTCCCTCAAGTTCAAAGGTTATACTGCCATGAATGCCTTAAGATAGATCATTGTCAGAAACCATTCTTGCAACTCTAAAACACTCAGAATGGGATCCTCTTGAATGCCAGCTATGATTTAAATTAAAGTTGAAGGTATACTTCAAGCATAAGATCTAAGTTCCAGCTCTAATTCCAAAGGCAAAGATAGTCACCTCTATTTCCTGCCTATATTAGACATATCTTCAAGGACAATGTGATGAATGGTGAGCCTAAACAGCTGCAAAACAGCTGCAGATCAGCAAATCTGTAGACTCTCCCATCTCACAGAAAGTGTCAGTGAAGAGAAAACTTATTGTTGAAAGGCTTAAAGTAGCTTTATCAGTTAAGGCTGCCACAAGAAAGTCAGGGATTGCAGTGTGAAGGTTGAAGATTATTGCAAAAGGCACCTAATTTAGATCTGATCAGAATGAGCTGAGATGAATCTTGTCTCCAGTGATCAAGTCTCAGTGAAATCAATAAACTTAAGTGCCTGAGGCAGTTCTGAAAATGGATCTTCCTAAGGCATTCAGGAACTATTAATTTCTCCCACGGGCCTCCAGTTTCAAGCATGGCCTGCAGTGCCTCTGAATGGTACTGTCTAGTTCTGCCTAGGAACAGTAACTTTATTCTGTGATCATGTGCAAAGTTTGCAGAACGGCGTGTGATGTTTTCTGCATTTCAGGGAACTGGCCAAGAAGACTAATACTGTTCACTAAATTATAAATAACTTGTGTTTTTTGAAAAATTTGAGCTAATAGCTTCTTTGAGATGTAGTTTTTACGGTAAAAATAAAGTGTGGGAAATCAGAACTCTACTTCTACACAGCAGCAGAGTATCCTGAAATTGTTCCACAAGTAAAACTTGACGTTTACTCAGAAACAGCTCCATTCAGTCTAGACCTGTCCTCCTAATTTTTAAATTAAACACACAGGATGCCTTAAAATTCAGGAGCAGTTTGTGCAACAGTGGTCTAAAGAAATTGTTATTCAATTGTAAAGCAGTGGATTATCTAAGACAATACCTTTTTAAAGTTTGCTGCATTTATGCTTACCCATAACACATAGACATGCAAAGAAACCATTGCACAGAAAGTTACCACAAGGTACTCTTGAGAACGAAATTACTGCTCCTTTTCATCAGACAATTTTTCTTTTCTAGAATGCCTTTTGAAATTTTCATTCAACTTCCATTCGTAGTATCATTAAGTGTCAATCAGTAGTGGTTTTGAGCAGGCAGACTGCTGCTTAGAATTAATGAAGGGCAGAAGACAAAAATAGATTTCTCAGTAATGCAGAATGAATTAGGTGTTGGCATTCAGATGTGAGCTGCAACAGTCCCTCATGTTGGACTGACTAAAAATCCCATGATAACAACCAGCATGGTGGGCTGGAAGAGCCATCCCACTGGCACCCCATTGTCTCTGTCACCATAAGATATTCAATAACTGTGTTTTTGGATATTGACACAATTACCTTTTCTATTTTTTGGGAAGTGAAAATAGGCAATTTTTGCTTTCTTAAGTGAAAAATTCTGCAGTAAATCCAAGGTGAAAGCGAACTCCACCTACCAGTGCAAATCTGAGCATCTTTTTCTGAAACCAACAAACAGAAAGGCAGTACTGTGAGGGGAAGTAAGCAAGCATTATTAGGGAGTAACATCTAATGCAGGTTGGATGGAATATGCAGTGAGGTCCCTCTTTGGTGATTATAAAGGGATTCACAGTTATCAACATGCACACAACATCTTCCTTTGGATATCAATGGTTATGTGAGATGAATACCACTCAAAGGTAGGTGGGATCATGCTCAGTATTAATAATAAGCTTCAAATCCTACCAGAATAGCAAAGGTTTGCTTCTGCAGTCATTTACTTAATACCAAAACTCCTACTTCTATGATGGGATTCATACTCTTAAACCCTTTCTTCAAAGATACCTTAAACCAAGCTTTTGGAAGTGTGTGGTAAAAAGAAATCATTCCACTGCAACACAGTAAGGGCTAGTAAGGTAATTTCTGCAAATCTCTTAAATTTCCAATCCTAAGATTGCTGTACTAGTTACTTCTGTGCAGAAAGTGCAGAAATGCTTCATCTGGTGGTGCTCTCTGGTGACCCCATCATTTCAAACAAAGATTAAAAACATTTCCAATGTTCATGCAGCGGCATGGGGTCAGAAAAGTCACCTTTATGAACAACATATTAAGGTGCAAGGTATAGAAAGGCATATGAACTTATTCAAGCTATATTAGGCTCCCAAAGATGTCAAGACAGACTGAGAAGTAGCAGCCTCACATGGGATGTAAGACACTTAGGAGGGTAGAGTTAGGCACAGAAACTTTAACTTTGAAGGTTTAGAATGGGAGCTGAGACAGTTTTTTCTCATGTTGGTACCTTTCAGTACAGCCAATCTGATTTCAGATGCATTTTACAGCACTGGAGTTTAATGTCCTTTCTTTGTTCCTTTCTTTCGGAGCAGAAATGCACATTGAGAGATTTCAAGCAGCAGTTGGCCAATTACTTTTCCAGACCTCCACCTTTTCAAGACAGTGGTTCTTTTCTACATGTTTTTTTAATAGGAGAACCAGCTTCTAATTAGGGGAAAATCATAAAAGATAATGACAAACTGTTTTTAAAAGCATTTTAATGTGTGATGCTTAAGAAGTTTCATATTGAAAAGTTAGTGTGTAATGAAGCTTCCACTGGCTTTGATTTAGCTGAGATGCTGGTGGATGCTCTTTACTGCAGTTCATCACCATGCTCTTAGTGATTTTTCTCAGTGACCATAATAACAAATTCACCCTCTTCACTATGACAAAGTCCACTACTGTGATGCAGTAGGTTCCTGTTTTCAAATTCCGAGTTGCTTCTGAGATTGTCAAGCCAGGCAATCAGCTGACATAAATTGTCATAGCTCCAGCAGCTCTGAGTGGCCTGTGTGCTGTGACCCCTAAGATGCTCCACTGGATTCCTAACACATGTTTTGGCATGGCTTGTGGCTGTTAGAAATGGGGTTGTTTGTTCTGAATCTGGAATGTGCAAGCATTTGCCCACACTGGCCCTTATGCCTGGGAGATCCTCTCTTCTGGGCATCTGTCACAGTCCCTTGTCCATTCTGTAGGGCTTTGCTTTCTCTGAAAAAAAAAAAAAAAAAAAAAAAAAAAAAAAAAAAAAGAGAGAGAGAGAAAGATTAAAAGATTAAAGAAATATATTAAATGAAACAGCTAAATCCTCTTCCAGTGCTAAACCCAAGAGGGGAAAAGACAGGAGTGATGAAGAGGTGAAAATATATCTTTTGCCTTACAGCATAAACAGAAGAAACCAGCTTTGTTGTCATAATTGGAATAATTATGATGTCCTGTTGTGAGAAGTCAAAAGTTTGGGAATTACAGGCTTTATCCCATTAAAAAATGTTTAAGAAAGGTTTTATTAAAGCAATAGTGTTGTATAGGTTTATTTACTATGTTTTGTCTATCTGTCTGTAGGTTTGTGGTTAACTGTTAGTGATAATAAAAATAAAAATAATTACAAAGTAATATTAGCAGAAAATCAATATAACTTTTTAGTTTTGAATGAAAAAGATTTAATGAAATCTTTTTAATGAAGTCCTAGAGAAATCTTATCTGTAAGACTGTCTTAATTCAATATTCAGTGTGTACTTAATTCAATATTCAGTATGTACTTCATATATTAACATAATGAATGCATTTCCTAGCATTTCCTGGCTGCAGAACTGGAAATCCTTGTGCTGACTTGATCCAATCAGGACCCCACAGGCTGCTCCAAAAGGGCAAAGAAGCTCCTTTGAACCTATGAACTTGTGGGTTACCTGTTATAATGGCCAGCCAAGGACCTGATGCCTGCCTTGCAAACCTCAGCTAAAGCAGGAGAGCCTGTTTCAAATATAAGCCCATATAACAGCTTGGGGTGAAAGAATAGTTAGTTTATGCTCATCCATAACAGCTCCCACTTGCACCAGAAGGTCCCAAACCAGCTGGAAGTCATTGCCAACAATTATTGTACTGTTCAGGCGCACTGGCAGTTCCTAAGTTGAGAAATTTGGAATGGGCATTTTAGTAAGATCACAGAAGAATATAAAACAGATTGTCCATTGTAGAAGAGGAGATCAATAGTGTTTCTTTTTATTCCATTGTTTTCAGTCTTAAAGACATACAGTGCTGACTATTTTTTAAAAATATGTGGGTTTTGACATATTTTTTAGTGAGGTTGAGATTTTGACTGTTGGTTTTAAATAGTCAAGAAATGCTCTGTTGTTAAATGTGATATGGCAGCAGCTTCTACACACTCAGAGTCCAAGTTTTTCTTGGACTGTCATAAAATTGTGATGTACTTCCTGGACAACAATCATTGCTTAATGGCCAGAACTTTAAATTTCATCTGTGTACACAAACAGCATTTCATATGAAAGATATCATGGCAAAACTGTCAGCCATCTGTTTGGTTGCAGAACATTTGAAATATAAAAATGTTCAAAACTCTTCTTAATTAAATTTTTTTCAGTTAGTTGCTGTTACTAGACATGTAAGTAGATGCAATTACATGAAAGGTAAGTATTAATTTGCTGTGGGCAGCTACTGTAAGCATAAAAAATTTTGGCATATTGAAAAAGTATATACTTGCCTTTTTCAATGTAGTATTGTTTTAGATATTTCAGGACTAACTGATGAAAAAATGCTGGTATATTTTCACAGACTGCACACCACCCTCCACAGTAAATATATTTCTTTTAAATTCCATGCATAGTTGCTCTGAACACTTGTGTTCTGCAAGGAATCTGATTTAAATTGTTGTTTGGTTATTACATCATTCCAAAGCCTGATGTTTTAGGAGAAGAAAACATAGAAAATGTCCTGGGCAGTGTAACTTCTTTATAGTCTATTCTTGACACTTACTGGTGTGATATCCTCTATGTTTGTGGGATGGTACCTCTGGGACATAGTGTTTGTATTTAGGTTTGTGCTCACACTAATGCTATTCCTATTTAATTTGTTCACAGGACAGTGATATGGAGGCAATGGTTGAGTATTTGGAGAGTGTCCTGAATAGCAGCTCATTGGGTAAGATGATGTATCTTCTTTAGATAGCAACAGTTATTAGCAGTCTGTATGCATCACTGTCCAACTATTTCCATTTTGCAACAAAATAACTCAAAAAATGTGATCACTTTGAAAATTACTTTATTAATCTACTAAAAAGAAGCATAACTATACCAAAAGAAAAGGCATAGTGCTTTTATTTGAAAATAATAAAACCATAAAGCATGATAGCCAGAAGTATATAATGTTATTAAAAAAAAATTTCTAAAATCTTGGCTACTGTCATTTTTGTCTTCAGAGGTAAATATTTGAGGATGTGTAAGCTATTTTATAGTTTTTAATTCTGGAAACAATTAGAGAAAAGTAGTTAAAATATTTACTATTTTAAGAATTATGATCAAGGTTTGGATAATAATTTATGTAACAGTATCTCATTACAGGTACAAAGAAAACAGTGAGAATTTAAGTTAGTAATTTAGTCCTAAAATCTCTGGCAAAATATTGTCTATAGATTTTCAGTTTGAAAACCTGGGTTGTTGTGATCTACTTAAAAGCTAAAAAGAAAACTTATGTGAAAGAATGCTGTTTCCTGTGGCTGCCATAGTCACTGTCCTCAGAGGCCACCGGGGGGGGCACTGTGCCAGCAGCAGCCTGAGTGTGAGCTGCATGAAAGGCCAGCTGAGTTCCCAAAGGCTCCCATGGGAGCTGCAGCCTCACTGAGCTGCTTCGTTTGCACTCGTTCAGTTGGGATAAACCTGACTTGGGGTTATCTAAAACCACAACACAGGAGACTCCTGGGAAGTCCTGCTCCCAGAGATTCTTTCAGTGCTGAGCTCTGGTTCACCCCTGCTTGCGAGCCTGGGCAGATGGGAAGAGAGAGCCAAAGAAGAAGGATGTAAGGGAATAATCAAAGTTGTTGCCATCATAGTCTTGCAGCAACAGGTCACCTTCTGGGTCCCATGCCAGGAGACCCTCAGGACTGAAGGAAGGAACATTTACATCCAGTTTCTCTTCATACTTACAGAGAACCCCATCTCCAAATTCTGCACTCATTTGTGTATTTGCAGCATCACTGTCTGCAATGGGTTTGCAGAAGTTAAAACAAAAAAAATTTTGCTCTGTGCTTCAATATCCCTTCATTTAATTAAAGAGAGGAATTGCCTTGGAGGTTGGTGAGAACAAACAAGAATATTAGCCTGATACAAACAGTGGTGTTTTAAAAACAATCTTAATATTAGGAACTCCCTTATCTTGATCTTTTCCATTCAGTATTAGGGACAAGAGGATGACTTTTTAAAAATTGTAATATTAAAGAATTAAATTGTACTTTTATCACTAAAAAATTTCCAACAAGTCGGTGCTGAAACTTACAGGCTTTTTCCAAATGAGGTAGTAATTAGGTATGATTTTCTCCAAAGAAATATGTGTGATGATAATAAGAGACAAATCTCCCGGTTCCCTTTTATCTTTGTATGCCCAGTATCACTTAGAAAGTTTAAACTTTCATTATTTTAAGTTTTTCCAAAATCAAGCTGTAAACCTTCAGTTGGGGTCATTTTTATGTGTTTGCTAATGTTCATTTATACCTTGCATATTCTTCACAGGGCTCCATATTCCCATTACATCAAAACTTTCTGTATATAGTGCATTTTACATAGGTTAGGTACTTGCTGTCTTTTTCACCCTGAGGATAGTTGTGTCCCCTTCCAGGTCTGCATTTCTCTGACTAACCACTAGCACAATGGTTTTAACCATGGCATTGCCAGTACTAGCCAGAGCCTCCCTTTTTGCCATCCGTGCCTGTAGTTCTTTACATCTCATCTTTCGTTCCCACTTTTCAAGGCATCTGGTGTTGTACCAGGCCTGTACTTCTCTACAATAATTTAAATAAGTTAGTTATAAATAGGTCTTTCCACACAAAATACTACTAATCCATCTAAACAAGCAGGTTGTACGTTACAAGAATAACTGGAAATAAAACAAAACAGCCCACTACAAAGTAATTCAAAGAACTGGTGCTATAGTTTAAGCAATTAAATAAAAATTTCTGTCAGGACAAGACAAGATCAGACAAATCCTGAAGACTTGCAGACTCAGTTCCAGGTGTGGGGCCTGGGACAAGCAGTGGCAATACAACATCGCTACAGAGCTGCAACAGAATTATAATGACTGCTCCTGAAAACAGTATGGATTTCATGGCAATAATAGGGCAATAGAAGCAGGAATCTGGCCAGGACAGAATTTCTTGTAGCACCTTTCGTTGTTAAAGTATTACAAAAAAATTATGAGTAATTTCAAGCGGTTGTTAGAGAACAACCAGGAAGAAAAAACACTAGAACTTTTTTTTTTATGTCAGCAAAGGCTGTGATAAAAAGGATACAATCAATATATAGTATTTTTAAACAGGTAGAATTTGTTTAGTATAAACCTCAGTGTTTATAAAAGGACTTGGGAGGTAACTGAATTTTCTCCTCAAGAAGTCCCAGAATCACTCCAAGTACAAGAACTTTTGTGGTACACAATTGCTTTTGTGTTGTCTATAAAGGTCCATGTGGAGTGTTTGAAATAAGATAGGCTGTGCTGATAAATTGAAAAATTGGGAAGATCCCAGGAAAAAACTGCAAAAGATAAGGAAGTTGGAAAAACTCATTTTAAAATTTACTAAATTTTCTTGGCATTAAGGAAGAGAAGGCTAGGGGCAGTTGGGTCACTTTGTGTTGTTTACGAATCTGGAAAACACGTCTGTTTCTAATCATTTATATCTTGTACAAAAAGGCATTGTAGGATCTCACATGTAGCAGTGAAGGATAAAGAAAAGAAATCTAAAATACAAACAGAAGTTTGTGATTCAGTGGAGATAACAGCTTCACAACACATCATGGCTTATGAAGAGATGCAGTAGATGTGTATCACCTATTCTTTGGTCATTAGCAGAAATGTTTGTAGGAGTGCCTTTGGACCATAATTTATGAAAACTCTTACCAGATATAAATTCCTTTCTCTACAGATCCTCAGTGCAAAACTCTAATTGGTGCTCTATCACCTGAGAGGACTAAGATCTTTTGCCCTTTGCCCTGTGCTGTTTCTGCAATACTGGGTTAGACAGTGGGAGACATTGAAATACATTTAGAAAGCCATAATACCTGGTTTTGAAAAGACAGTGTTCTTGTTGTTTCAATTGATGGATCAAGAATGATATATTGGATAAAAAAATGCAAATAATTATCTGGTAACTTTTTGAAGAAGCATAGTTCCTTGTTGTGTGTTGATATGTGGGTACACAAACTGCCTGAAGCTGGGTGCAAAATACATTATTGATCAAATAACTGCTTCTAAGAAAACACCTTTGATGTAGAAGTTGGTATGGTTATGAATCACCCCAGCAAAATTTGTTGAGGTGTGCTGTAGTACCAATGTATCAAGCTCTTAGCAGTCTTCACTGAGAGCTAATTTTTTTTAATGACTAACCACACCTTTGCAGCATCCCACAATATTCAGTCTGTGCTGCCTTGCAGTAGCCAAAAAATCATATTAAATGGAGAGAAAGATAGAGAGTTTGCACATAGAGATGAAGTTTTTCTTGGCCAAATGCCAATGTGTAAAGCAGACAAAATATGAATTATTTAGCCAGAAATCCCAGGGGGAAAAACAAAAGCTAAACAAAAAATAAACAAATAAACAAACAAAGAAACCCCAAAAACAATAAAATAAAATTAAAAAAAAAAAACAAAAAAAAAAAAAACAAAAAACCAAAAACCAAATGCCAAAACAAACAAGAAGGATGTCTTTAATAATGAAATGTCAGAGGAGAAGGAAATATTGTAGTAATAAATATACTGAATTCACTAAACAGAAAGAATATGCTGAGCTCTTACTACAGAGATATGTCCTGTAATAATAGTAATGCCAGAATTTATCTGGTGCCTGTGGTTAAATGTACTCCTTTTTAAGAGACTGCAAGGTTTATATTTTCCTTAGGCCACTGGTGCTCAGGGCATCAATTTTTAATTGGTTTCAAAGCACCAAAGCCCTACATCTGGACCTTAATACTGTGCCAACTGAGAGAGGAGCCCAGTGAGTCACAAGCACTGCTTTGCACAGTGCCTGGGGTTTCCTCAGAGCTGAGGATAGCTGAGTTTTCCAGTGTGCTGAAGGAGTTGAATGCTTACAGACACCATGTAAAACATATGGGTATGCATGTGCACTGTTACAGTAAACAATCAGGAAATGGTTTTTGCATTAATGGGTGAAATAATTGGTTGCCAGTAAGAACTAGGCTTGTAATTTTTCATCTTTTAAACTACATTAACTATTACCTGAGTCATACTTGGGCACCAGATAACTCCTAGCCATTAGGTGTAAAATAAGCTAGGAAAATGTTTTTAAATGTGCAATTGTTTGTCTATCCTGCTAACAGAATCAGGAATCCATTTCTCCTGTGCTTCCAAGCTTCTGAATCCAGCAGACACTCACTGTGAGTGATTCAGTAGGATCACTCACAATGGAAAGTTTTAATCTCAGTATTCAAATGGATGTGATCAGGGTCTAGAATCATGTAAGGCATAGGAGCTTAACTTTTGGGAGAGCCATGATTACACATTCCAGGGAAGCATTTGGTGTTCTCTGGGGGTGTGTATACCAGCTCACAGAGGGAGGGGAGATGCAAGCTGCCTCTGGCTGCATGTGATCCCTGTAAATGCAATCCAAACTCAGCCAAACCCCAGCTGAGTCCAAGCTAAAAACCCCCGGTAGGAAGGGAGTGTGTGCTCAGTTAGACAAGACATTGTGTTAACGTGTGTGACTTTTGGCTTGTTCCTATCCTATGCAAAGCCCTCCCATGCCTGTTCAGTACTTGGGTCCTGGATGGCACAGCCCACACATTTACACTCTGATACCTCTCCTTTTTTTTGGCAGGTGAAATCCTAGTGCCAAACAATTTGCAAATAGAGGCTAAAATAGCTGCTTTGTTCAGCTTAACAAATTGAAAGCCGAAATAGGATCTCTTTTTCAAATTATGAAGAAATGAAAGGAGTATGCAAAAGAGAAGGGAAAAACTGTGTAAGCCAAGGGAAAGGACTGGCATAGGAGGAAAATGAGCATGAACTGCTTGATAAAGAAATTTTATCAGGAAATAAGAGGGGAGATTTTAGCCACTTGCTGCCAGTGAGGCTTTGAAATTGTCTTTCAATGGGAGCAGTCAGGGCAAAAAGTACATAAATTTCTTAGGAAAACCACAGACTTGTATGATGGGATGACTACATGAAATTGCAGCATAATTGAGCTGATAACCCTGACAGTCCTCTGTGATTCAGCACTTCTGTGTTCCTGTGGATGAGTGCCTCAGTGGTACGTGAGCCCTAGGTCCTGAAATATTGCAACAGCTCACAAGGCCTGCAAACAGAAAGAGTGAACGTGTCTGTTTATGCATATGTATATTTCTTACAATACATATGTATTTACATTTACAGGTATGTTTATATATATATATATATTCATACATAAAAAGAGTACCTTTATCTGAAGGAGGAACTGATGTTGTAAGATAAATACTTCCAGTTTACAGTAAAGATCAAGCTCAAGGAGTCTTGCCTGTTAGGAAGAATGTTCTTGCTCTTAAAGATAAGTAAAAAACAATGGAAGAAAATGCATATTGTCTAAACAAATTTAATTTTGTTGGATATTTATCCATCCCAGAACTTCCTCAAGTGATTTTCCTTTCTGTTGTAATTCCTTGCGTATTCCTTGTTAATACAGTTCTGGTGCCTTTAAGCTATAAAGCTACTTGTGCCCCAGAAAGGAGTTGCCCTTAATGTACATTTAATAATCTAATTCATCTCTAATTAATGAGGCACTGCTTTGTGAGAAACAGGAATAGTCTTCCTCCTTCTGACTGCCCTTGATTCTGCAATAGAGCTCAGGGGATGAAGGTGAATAAGGTTGTGTGTCTGTGCATTGATTTGTAGGCTCGAGGACTGTCACCAGAGTGTCTCCAGGGGTGCCCCAGGGACTCAGAGCTCTCAACAGCACAATGGCTGAGACCAAGCTGAAACGCATGAGGGAGTAAGTAGCATATTTATGTGATACCAATGTGCAGGCAAAGAATATGGATTTGGAAAAGTGCAAAGCACAGCAAATAAAACCCCAAAATCCCATCAACAAAAAGAATTGGATGGTAAGGTGTTTAGAGACTTGCCTACTTGCCTCCAGAGAGGATGAAAGCTGACCCTCACTTCTGATTGTTTTCTTGTAAGCCGCACAATCACTGACATCCTTCCAGGATCCAGTTTGCCTTCCCTGCTGTCGATGTCATTCTGAATTTCACTTTCTTTATTAGCACAGCCCATGCCCATAAATCAGCTGCAGATGTACACATTACCACCACATTTGCTCCCTCACCTGCACTTCATTCTTGCCTGGAATGAAAAGTAAGTAGGTTTGTTTCCCATAGTGATATGATGTTTTAAACCAAACAAAATTGCTGCTGTTGGCTGGGATTTTCAAATGAGACAGCAGGCAATACATGGGCAGTTCCCTTTGAAACTCATTGTCTACTTGTTTTCAGCATTGCGGAAATCCCAGCTTTATTTATAAAAGTTTCAGTGTCTTAATAAAATGAAGATCTGTCCTTCCTTTCTAGAATGTACTGGTTAATGTATCTTGAGCCTTTATCTTGACTCAGTAATTTCTGGCCTTCCAAGATTGATTGCATCCTCTTTTAGTTGCTGATCTGATAATCATAGTATGTGTATTATTTCTGAGATCAAATATTCATTACAACGTTGCAAGATTCAACTGCTCTCAGAATGTAAACTCTTATAAAAAAGGGCAATTTTTTTCTCCTGTGTAGGTGGACAGTGCCAATAATGTGGTGGATGTTATTGGAATACAAATAAGTTCAAACATTAGATGCTAAGAGTTATTTGAGTGAGCCCTCTGAAGAAAATGAGTAGAATTCCAACAGCATTGATAGCAATCACTGTTTGAAACAAATCACCATGTACTCCAGGAAAATACCAATCAAATTTACTCCTGATGGAAGTTGTTTGGTTTTATAGTATTTCAAGATGCAGCAGCTCCCAAGGTTTCACTTCATGGCTTAGCCCTTACTGTGCAATCAGTCCCAGATCTCACAGCCTTCCACTTGTACTGCTTTCCATTCTATTTTCATGGAAAAAACTTATAAAAATAAATTAATGCATTATGTTGTCCCAGCTACTTACAAGGTGAGATTTTTAGTCAAAATACCTAAACTTAGAGATTTCACCTGGTGTTCTCATGGTTTCTGGATAGAACTTAAAATATTTGGACTTCATGGTCATTGCTTTTGGGGCTGAAGTGCGATTAGATCACTTCTTTCAAATTCTGTTTTTCCAGTGCTGTTTCATGGTTTTCATGGTTTGCTGTGACTCACATTATTGTCCTTTCTCCAAAACATAGCATGACTTTTTCATTTTCTCAACAGGTTAAGGTGAGAAAGGACTTAATTGCTTGGAAAGTAAAGTGTTAAGGCACAAGTCAGTGAGCACAGTACCCAGCATGTGCACAGTCAAGGAGATCCTACAAACTCTGACCCATGGCCAGTCCGCACACAGGGCATGGTGGTGTTTGCAGTGGTGAGAAGGAAACACATCTGGCTACGAATCAGTACATAAATCCACAGCTTCTTTGCTTATCCTTCAGCAAACTTCATATGTGTTTTTTGAATGTCATCCACATAACACTGCCACATAAGCAAGGCTAATATAATTTAGACTTGTGCTATTCAGTTTTACTTGGATAGGTGCAGACTTTTGGGGGGGAGGGGGTCCTCTTTCATATGACAGCTTCTGATAAAGGAGACAATGTGGGGGATTTGTCTTACTGAGACAAACTAAGTGGCTGGAGTTCCTAAAAGGAAAGAGAAGAGCAGAGCAGGGGTGATAATGTGGAGGTGCAGTGAAATCTGTTTGGGTGTCAAGTCTCTAGAAAGAGGACTATGAATGTTTAGGATTTGCACCATTTTCAGATGTTAGGAGCAATAGGTTCTGATGAGGGAGACTCCCGTGTCATGAGCTGCTCATAAAGAAACTTTGTGCCCATGCATTACAGATGACGTTGCTGACAGAAAATGTCAGTAGCTCGATAAAAAGGTAGATTCATCTAAAATAACACAGGGTCTAGCAGTGAAAGCACCTTTTAGCCATTTCCAATTGACACGTGGATAATGCTGGCTTACAAACCACTGTAGCAAGGCAGTCACTTGACAAAATGTTATGTGCCCATTGCTTGAGTTACTGCAGCATGACTCACTAAATGCCTTCTTTGACTTGCTGTGTATCAGAGCATCAATTTAGGAGGTTTCCACTGTATTCTTATGGCAGACTTGACAAGAATACTCGTGTGAGAGCAAAGCTGTGCTAAAAATCTTTATGGGAATATAGAAGGAAGCCACTGATATTCTTGAATGTGGTAGGTAGGAGTACTTGGTCTCCTCCTATTTTAAGTGAAAAGAAATGGCTTTTTTATCACTACAACCCCTAAATATTTCCCCTGACATTTTCTTTCCAATTACCATTGCACATGCTGTTCCAGTTGATCGCATCCAGCATCAATATAAATTGCTGTCCTCTCAGTAAAAGTCATGATAAAATCACCAACTCCAGTGACAACATTTCTAGTTTGTTATATTTGGAATCAGAATTCATTATGAAGTTTATAAGAGCAGAGATTTAACTTTAGCTTTCAAGCAGAGTTAATTGTCTCCACAAAAATTTCCACTTCAGTGCTAAGCATTTCAATATTGGGATCTGCACTGTTGATAAGAAATCTCCATTTTTTGAACTAGCTCCCACCAATGTTATTGTTATGCTCCTTCCCAGCCCCACATGCCAGCAGCAACAACTCAACCAAATATAGAAATTGGAACTGTGAGACTCTTATTCCTTATACTAGGTTTTGAAAGTGAGGAATCACGTTAGATGCAGGAAATGGGAGGAGCCATTTCCTGGTATCTTCTGTCCTGGCCACCATCAAATTCTCATGGTGGTTCCCATCCTTGGTGGCACAAGGTAACTTGGTGCATGCCGAGTCTGAGAAGCGTTACTGCCACGTGCTGTCCAGAGCCAAGTTATCTTCATGGAGAGATCCATAAAGACAAACTGTTCAGGTGTTCACTGATGTTCCCCTATAGAGGCTTTCCAACTGTGCATCTCAGAAGAGAACCACACTGTTCTTCAGAAGCAACTCCTCAAGCCAAAGCATTTTTCTCCTGTCAGATTAAATTGTACTAGCACCTATTAATTTTTTTCCCCCTGAGGTCCATACAAAAAACTTGGTACAGATAATTTTGTGCTCCTTTGTGGAGATATCCATGAATATCTACAATGAGTCATTTTAATAGCCATGAACTTTAATATGCACTTTAGAATTCAATAAAATGTATGGCACTAGAAGGAAAAGGCTTTTATGCCCCAAATTTTAAGGAAATTAAAATCCTTTAGCCCAGCAGTAAGCACCTCTTAGTCAGTCCCCAAAGTGTTACGCACAGCAGCATACCACAATCAGGAAAAAGACTTCACCATCCCCTGCTGAGTGTAAGTAAAGCAGTCTTTCAGAAGTCATGAAGAAAAAGCATTGGGTGATATTTTTGTTCTGCTCCTGTGAATGCTCATAACACTGTTGGTTTAGACTCATGAGCAGTATGTATATATGCTTCTTGTGCTTGTGGTGCTGCCATCAAATGCATTGTTTATCTTAACAATTCAGATACAAAGGTCATTTTGAGGACATTCAGTAGGCACTGGATGTTCTTTGAGATAAGTAGTCCTAAAATGCTAGAAGTATAGAAGACTTGTTGTACATTTATTTTTACAATTTAGAAAAATATTACAGTAAAGAAAGTATTTACTTGATGTAGTATTTCAATTTATGCAGAGTGGACCTTTCTGAGCCAACTGAAACTGGTTTTGTTATTGATGTCATTGAGGGCAGCTTTAGTGAAGACAAAAGCAACAAATACAGAAAAGCTAATTGTTTTTTAAGATTTTGATTTAAAAACTTATCAGTGACCTTTTGATTGCCACTGACTATCATGTTGATAGTGTCATGATGTAAAAGAGCTTGAGGAATAAAATGTCATCTCACAGACAAAAGACATTTGTTAAGGAAGTTTATTGACCCTGTCTGAGCTACCACTTTTTTTGCAGGTGAATAGAGTACTCTTGAAGGTATTGATCCTGAAATGTTTTTGAGAATTGGATTTCCTCTTACACACACCAGTGTTCTGTCCAAAACTCCATTTTCAGGTAATAATTTCTGTCTGGTGATCCCAAGGCATCTTACAGCATGGCTATAGTTTTCTGCATCTCATGAGCTAAGCCAAAATTTTATTTACATATCCATCTTCCTTGTCGCAGTTTCTCACAATTCATTTTCAAAGGCCAGTCTCAAATGAGTCTACTGAGCTTATTATGGAAAAAAATTAAATATCTTAGTCCATGAGTTTCTCATTCTTTTACTGAAAATCCATTTTAAGACAATTGCACCATTTATACTTTTCAGTACTTTTCAGACCCAAATTTGAAGTATTTTAGGTTTGCAGTTTGCTTTACAAGCAAGTGAGAGTACAGCAAACTCAGCAGGAGCACTGAAAGATTGAACCCTGCCTGTGTGTGGCCAAGCTGGGATATTGGTTCTTGGCCTCTGTCAGGGAGAAGTGGGTGAGTGCTCCTGGCTCAGGAGTCATTGCTGCCCCCAGGCAACGACTGAAAATGGGAATGGGGAAATCCAGTGCCTAAGAAGAAATGAAGGTGAGTGAGACAGTGTCTGCTGCTCAGAAGCATAGGAGTCCTCTGAAGCAGAAGCAGCAGGAACCCCTCAAGGCCAAAGTTCGAGTTGGTGATCTGATTCCTCAGGCATTTTCCATTTTCTTTCAGCTTCTTCCCACTGTCCATACTCCTGCCCTTTCCGTGACAAAAATGGGCTGCTTCTCTTGTTGGCACTTTGTCTCTTACGCTGCTCCTCTCCATCCTGCATCTGAGGATGGGAAGAGCACGTCACCTGCCAGCACCATGATTTCAGCA